TTCTTACACTGAGACTGCCTCCACCTTTCTTGCATATAAATGCAGAGGGGGAAAACTTGGAATAGAAATATTCACACCTTTTAAAAGAACTCCTTATTTACTGGCTGATTTAGCCAACAACTCATTAGCTTTGATTTTTAATCTAAGTGCACTACTTTTAAACTGGTTTTAGGGAATTATTTTTATTTACATTAACATCTCATTGATAGAAATCCTTCCCTGTGAGGGTGGTGAGGTGCTGGAATGGATTCCCCAGAGAAGCTGTGGCTGCTCCAGCCCTGGAAGTGTCCAAGGCCAGGCTGGATGAATTTGGAGCAAGCTGGGATAGCAGAAGGTGTCCCTGTCCATGGAATGGGGTGGCACTGGATGGGATTTAAGGTCCCTTTCAACCCAAACCATTGTAGGATTCCACAACCTCCATTTCTCAGGTTTGCTTTCCCTTTGATTTTCAAACCTCTTTCCTTTTCACATCTCAATGGCACAAAAGTCAAAAAGTCTGGGAAGATCAAGCAAAACTCCAGAATATTGTGTTTGTTCCAAAACACAATAATTAGCCATAAAAAGAAAGAAATGCCCCTTTTCCATGAGGATCAAGAACAATCATCAGGCACTTTGCAGTCAAGGTCAAACTCCCCTACACTGTTCTGTAAATATGGAGGGAAACACTACATTTGCTTACCTGCAGTGAGGGGGATTTAGATGAAACATTAAAAAACTCTTTTATAACAGTAAAGAGAGTTAGTTAAGCACTGGAACAGATGGTCTAGGGAGGCTGTGGAGTTGCTATCACCCAAAGTTTTCAGAACAGGTTAGAAAAACATCTGTTTGCAATATTACAGGTACAGGTAATTCTGCCTGGAGATCTGGATAACCTCATCACATCCTTTCTAAACTTATTTTTTAAGATTGTGAAATCTTGGTTTTCTAAGACGTGGGGAAAAAAAAAACCAGACAAATTTAGGTAGAAATCTTGAGAAAGTAGAAATAGGCAATACATGAAGTATTTCTTATTTTAGTTCCTATTTACTGGATTTGGTTCAAACCCTCCTGTACTAACTCGGTGATTTCAGGTCACTTCCTAAACCAGCTGTGGTGAAGACGGTATTAAAAACATGAATAAAAACCTTATTATCCTCAGTGTCTGAGTGATCAATCAATTTAATCAAATACCTGTGTCTGAGAGGGAATCTGCCCCTCACATTCCAACTGCTGAGCTGGATATGTCCGCACTGGCTTTGATTTCCTTGTTGAAACCACGGAGCTGCTGGATGGAAGTGCTGCAGTGTTACCTTTGCTAGAGGAAGATGTGCCAGAAATTGCTTCCTTGGAGTTTGGGAAGGTGGTGGTGTCTGTATTCTCAGGGTCCAGCCTACTGCTAATAATCTCTCCTGTACAAAGGAAAACATTGATTGCAGGTTTCATTCATTAATTATCAGTAATTCATTTAATCACGTGGCAAAATAGAGGCTTGATTAGCTGCTGAAAGTCATGATTTACAGGAATTCTGCCTTTCCATGACACCCAACCGTCAGAGCTCCAGATCCAGGTGCTCACAAGTTGAAACTTGGAACCCACAGGAGGATTCCAGAAACAAACAGGAACCAAAATCCTCCCAGGAATTAAGGACTCTGATTCCTGTTCAGCTGCAAGACACGGGATGCTCACATACATCTTTGTGCACTTGGGAATTTGAGGGAGCTCCTTCCTCAGGAGATAAAACAAGGACCTGGGAGTGAAGTTGGAGATGCAAGTGATGGTTGCTGGATGTTTGTACTCACCTACAGCTGATTTCTTGTGCTGCCTGGGAAATTCCTGGGAAGGTGCTGCCTTGGATACAACAGGAGGGGTCTGCAGAGTTATCTTTGCTGCTGGAAGGATAAGCCTTTGGCCAGTTAGGCTCAGAGCACCTACAAGAAGATGACATTCCTGAACAATTCACATGTGTTCCAGCTACGAAAGAAAATCAATTAGCAGCAATGAAGAAAGAATTAAACAAAGGCACAGCCAAGTTCTACATCCAAAGTACAAAAGCAGCAGTTTTCTTTAACTGAAAGATTCATCATACCTTTCAATATTCAATATTTTACCTTCAAGGAAGGTGAGCTTTGCCTATAAAAATTGACAAATACATGAAAGATACTCTACCAGTGCTGATTCTGAAAGGGAATTCTATGCTTGTGTATATATAATTATATGCTTGGGCAATGCAAGTTAAAATGCAGAATGGCTGAGAATGAACTCTTGTAAACACAAGAGAACCATGAAGAGGCACTGATGGCTAAAACAGTGCAAGTGCAGGTGTAGTTAAGATTGAATGATTAATAACTAGATGTTAATCATGATCATTTGATTTATTTAGTCACTCAAGAACCTCCATCACACCCAGTTCTTCTCTCCAGCAGCAACTGAACCCCCTGAATTAGCAGAACTGACTCAGCTGATGCTCAACACAACACACACCATGTCCTACAGCAGCTCCTCTTTGGAGTGAGGAGCCTGAAGTTGAGTCTTGGTGATGTTTGAGATCCCAATTCTTACAAGTTTTCAGGTGCCAGAAAATTCATTTACCACATACCTGCTGCAAACATCAACTCTGCTTTATGTAGCTCATACCTGGTGGCCACAGCACCCACCTTTTGGGGTGTCCTCTTCCAGCAGGGGTAAGGGAGAATCCACGGGTGGAAAGGCAGGGAAACCCCAAAGGGTGGCAACTGTGTGGCCTTTCCCTGTCTTCTGACTGCACATCTGGGAAGGAAAACAGAACTCCTTTTAACAAAGGGAAATGTGGCATTTACAGAGCTACACTTCTCTACTCCCACAGTAATAAATAATAAATATAATTTCTGCCATGAGTGGTTTCATTAAGATTTAACAACTTTTACTACTTATGAACATGCCACAGTATCATCTACTGTCGTTACTTCAGAAATTTATAATAAAGTTAATTAAACTCAATTGATGTCCTGTGACTTTTGCTATGCAAAAATCAGTGTACTACATACTAAAAATCACAAGAAGTTTGCTTAATTTTAATAAATATAGTGTAAACAGGGTGTTTCTTGACAGAACAGCCTTTAAATATATAAAATGCATACTTGGGCAAGGTACCAGGAGGAAAAGGAAAAAGGAACATTGGATAGAAATGTTTGAACTCTACTGATGACCTGATGCCACGGGCTGGAAAATTGTTTATTTGCTTTTTTAAAAAATTATTTCATTATGAATGATTAACTACCTGAAATAATAATAATAAATAGATCAAATCAGAAAGTTGGGAAATATTAATAGAGCTGCAAAATGGGAATAATGGTATTTAGCTCTACCAGAGCACATTGGGGCTTTCTGCCTTAAAATATTAGCTTTTAATGACTGATTATTAAGTTTTTAGTACAATCCAGGCCACGATTGGGATCTTTGAGCACTATTGTGTCATAATTACTGAATAACATCAACCATCAACTTTCTAGAAAGGGAGAAGAAATTCTAAAGAGCTGCTTCTAATCCTAGCAGGGAAATGAGACAGATCAAAATTAACTATTCTAATTTTTCCTCCCAATTTGTATAATAACACTGCCCACAAGAGACAGCAGGGAGAGAGAAAACATGTACTTTTTATCATAATAGAGAATCTTCCAGGCACTCATTTCAGTTCTGGCCATTACAGACCATTCTGCTTTAAGGGATCAAGATGGAGAAATCTTCATGTCCTTGTGTTCCAAGAAAACACCAATAAACACCCAACAAAGATTAACTTTACACCAGTTGGCAAATAAGTGGTTTGATACTGAGAAAAAGAAATTATAAACCACACTTTCCTACTCACTCTCACCCCAGCAGTTTGTTGAGGACACCACAAAAATATATGAAAGGAAAGAATTTAATTAAAGTGACTCCTTAAAGCAGCACTGGTTTTACTACTGGTTTTATCCTAATTTAAGTCCCAGGAGTTTTCTTATGATAAACAGCACATATATATATATATATTTTAATTGTGTTTCTAGAGATGTAATAAGCTACAAAGAAAGGCAATTCAGGTGGAGTGTGTGAGTTCAAAAGCAGCCTGGAGGCTTGGGGATTTTTTTAACTGGACACAGGTTTAATTCTTCTTTAATTTCTATAAAGTCCATGGCAGGTGTCATATTAAAACAAAGATTGATGCAACTAAAATGTAATTTAATCACTCATTTACACTGCCCAGTGCCATGATCCACCTCCTCATGTATTACAGGCAACATGGAGCTGACCCAGAACAGTTCCCCACCAAAATCCCACCCAATTTCCACCCCTTTCCATGCTCTTCCAGCACTCTGATTGCTCCATTAGCTGCCCTCTGGAAGAATTCACTAAGATATCAAAGCAAAAGGTGACAAACTGCTTTAATTCTGGCACTTACTTTCACTAAACTGAAGCCCATGAAATTACAACAATAAGACCTTAAAAAATAATATTAAGGTTTTACTTTTGGCATCGTTGCTCCATCCTGGGCACTTTTAAAGCTCAGTTGTATAGGGCTGGAAGAGAGCACTTCATTTGCAGGGCAGACTAAGGCTGACTTGCCTTAAAATATGCTTGGAGTGTGCTGAAAAACTATTTTTTCATTTCAAGAGCTTCTGAGTGTAATTAACCTGGGACATGAGAAAAACAATTCTATTACCCTTTCTAAAGTGTTTTTCTCCTGTGGATAAACCTCTCCCACTTTATTTTTTCTTTTTTGCTTCATTTTAAATAGGGCACTTGTTGGAACACCACAGGGATTTTCTGATTAGTTCTCTATTTGTTTTCTTTTTACCCAGCAATATTTAACTAGAACAATGTCTTTTTTTCTTTTTTGGGGGGTAAATATCTTTATAAATGTGTTTTTCACCCAGAATAGAAATTAGTATTAAATACACAGAAAATATCAGTATTGTGTGTCAAAACTACAGTTTATCAACCAGGACAATTAGATAGATGAGATTTGATAAGTAAATAGCAGAAAATCACAGGGCTTGATAGTGATGGTAAAAAAGGTTTATAACAGAGTAATTTATCCTTCCATTTATCTCCTCCAGACTGCCATCTAGCCCCACATTTTTTGTCAAGAAGTTCCTGTCAAGGTTTGATGGACACAGTGCTTCCCACTATAAAGGGAAGGAGGAAGCTCAGCAAAACAAAATTAATAGAACTAAGGGCAATTTTTAATATGCTGTCAGGTAAGAGTTTTGTGGAAGGCAAGTTTAATTGGAAAAAATTGGAAATTGCATCAAGAATAACATCTTATGTTATTCTTGCCTACTTTAAGCTCTCAAAGTTACCAGAGATGACAGTCTGAACTGTCAATTTTCCATGTGCTTGGAAAAATCAAGCTTGTTCCCCTTCATGAGCTACCAGAAACCCACCTCCATCAAAATTCCACCCTAACAGGTGGGAAGGAGAATAGCTGGAGAACTTTGGAGAATCCCACATCTGCTTTTTGCAAAGGCAACAGAAGCAGCACAGAAGGAAGTGAAAAAGATAATTGCTGGCTTGAACTCCTCTACGTTTTCCTCGTGGCAAAGGGCCAGATCCACGAGGGGGGGATAGGCAGGAACAACTTATTGGGATTCAGGGGTGGGCTCATCCCTTGTCCAGAGACAGCTGGAAAGCAGCAGCCCATGGCATCCCAATCAGGCTCTGGGTTTGTCAGGGAATGCTGATCCCGAACAGCACCAGCTTCAGCAGCTCTGGCTGCACCCCTGCCTTGCAGAACGACAGTCAATCTCCAATTCCAGCTGACAAGAACTGGAGAAAAAAACTTCAAACAAATGGTGACCTTTGCAAAGATTAATTTGTTTACCAACAAAACGTTCTCTCCGTTTGTCAGCAGAGATGGGAGTGACCTTCACGTCCCCACTTCCAGGCTGACTGGAGTCATCTGTTAACTCCCTCTCTCCAATTATTCCCTTTTTATTTTTAGTGACAAGAGGATTTTTATTAAATCACTGGGCTGCTTATTATGATTACACACCGTAATACAAACCCAACCAGCTTATTTTGATTTACTGTAGTGGAACATCCATTTGTTTAAGTCTCATTCTGCTCCCACTGCCAAACTCTACCTTGGCTGTAATTATGGCCATATGTAGAGGTTTAAAACACAACCAGGTTTGGAGCACCAAAAGACCTCATTTTCTTCTACAACTTCTTTTGAAACGAAAGGAATTGCCCTTGCTTTATGATCTTGGAAATAAATACACTTTCAGGGAGAAGCAAGTGAATAAAGAATGAATAATTGAGGATATGATTAGTATGGTTGTGCTCAAACAAGTCAGCTTAAAATCCCCCCTCCAGAATCACTGCCATCACCATTACAGTCACACTAGGTAAGATGCAACTCATAAAGGCTAGAAATCATCACCATATTAAATTCTACCTTATGAATAAATGAAAAGATTCCTCAGTTTACAGTATAATATACATTTATAAGAAAACAAGGACCAAAAAGTGCCAGCATAATTCTGTAAGAGAACAGCAGTCCTCTGAAAATGAAAGGTGGAGCTGTGAATCTTCCCCACATTGCAGCAGGATGTCAGAATTATTTTTGCTGCAATTCAGATTACTGCTCCTTTTGCTGGGTGCTCCATGGGAAGTATACATATTTAATAATTATCCACTCATCATTTTTCATTTGTTACCCACACATAGGCTGCAAAATAAAGTGATGCCCAGTCTGTGTTTCAAACAGAATTACAGCCCTCCTTTTAAAATAACTCCAGAACTTTACAGAGAATGAGGTTTTATAATCAGACCCAAAAAGGCACAAAAGGGCAACAGTTAATTGTTCTTACTTTCTATGATAAAACTCAACATCAGCAACTTTATAATACCAAAGAGCAAGAAAAGAAGACATTTTTGTGAAACAATGAGCTCGTTACTAATAATTTTTTCAAACTACTCCAAGGGCAGGATAATAAAAAGTCCAGGTAGGTTTGTGCTCGACCTCCCTCATCACCTCAAAGCCGCGGTTTTAATCTCACCGTGTTTTTAACTGCTCAGCTGTCCTTCAAAGCTCTCGGAATACACCTGAATGCAGTTAAGCAAGCAATTAGACTTTTTAATTTCCTTAATTCCGGTGATTTTTTTTTGGGGGGGAGCTGCTCCTTGACCTCCCGGACACACCTGGGCACGTGCGTGTACGAGCAGCGCCCTCTGACGGCAAACACCGGGCAGGGACCACCTGCCTGAATTATTGTAGCGACTTTAACCTGTATTTCATCAAAAATTAACAAATTCAGACCCGCAGGTACACACGGATTCACGTTAGTTGCTATTTGTCATCATATATATCAGGTATGATCATGTATATCATATGCAGTCACTGCTGTAAGTGCTGGTGGGGATCGTGCTCAACAAAAAATTCACATCCCAGCAGAGGATTTTGCAAATCCTGATTGCAACATTTTATCCCTAGGACATTCCAAACCACCACACTGTGTCACAGGATGAAAACAGAATAAATAATATCGTAATATTAATCTAATCATTTTAAATAGAATAAATTGGAGATGAAATACCTACTTGATTTTCAGCCCATCTCCCTGTCAGTGCCTCAGCAACTGTAAATATGGATTTGAGAGCCTGACTCGTTCCCACTAAATGCTTGTAATTTAAGTCACCAATAAGAAGTTTTCTGTGCTCAGTGTTTCAGGGAGAGTGGTAAAACACATGGCTCTCTGCAGTAGGATAATATTCCTCTCTGTGAGTGTTTTAGAGTGGTTCTAAAAAGCTATTAGCCATGATGCTTTTTTCTAATTAACTCTGTATCACAGGGGTAGACAAATCACCTCTTAGTCTGGGCAACAGCTTTCAAAAATCATTTTTTACAAGTGGCAGCTCACAACTGTGCCATTCACAGATCCTCTTGATGTTGTTTAAAAGCAAACACCCCAGAATATCTCTGAGAGCACTGGGCTTGCTGCATAATATTCCATTCCATAAATTAAATCATAGAAGAGCATCCCCACGTGAGACCATTGGGCATGTGGACCACAGTGCTGTGCTAAATTTGGGAACATAATTGATTTTTGGAGGGATGCCTGTGCCTATTAACTTAGTTTTCTAAAAGCATACTTTGCTAAAAACGTCCTCTTCACGTTCAACTGTTTATTTAAGTGGAGCAGCAGTTACAGACCAGAAAGTTGGAAGAATCAAAACTTAACCTTGCACAGCTTGAACATTCCCAGGGCAGAGAGAAGAGGAGAGAAGGGTTGATTTGACGGACAGGACTCAGGATACTCCTAGGAGAGGGTTGTGGAAGTCCTTGATATCCCTTGTTTCCCTCAGGGAAACAGCTTGAGCAGATATAAAAGAAAGGCTGCGCTCCAGAAGAACTTGTAGATCTACAAGACACTTGGGATCTCCAAGACATGGAAATATCTCCACATGGAAAGGAAGGAGCTGAATTTGTCCCCCGTGTTCCAAAGTGCTCCCAGCAGGAAGTGCAACTCAACATTCCCTCCCAAACCACATCAGAAAAATAAGATGTGACACCTAAGTTTGTGTAGGATTCTGATTCTCCTTCAGTAGAAGCCCTATTTTTTTAATTCTGACACTGATTTCTGCTCAGGGTCAGCAGTCATGTGGCAAAAAAAAAAAATCAACTAAAAAGAGCATAAAAACAAAGCAAAAGCATTTTTCACTTATTCCCAACAATCTTGTTATTATTGGAAAACAGAATGTGTTCTTGCCATTTGACGAAATTTTAAGAAATGGCAAGAGAATGAACAACTGAAAGGCCATTTTTTATCAATAAAATTCCTTTTACTTCTGCTCTGATCTTTGGGTCATACCCAAAACTCCACAAGTTCCAGTTTGCTCATCTCCTCCCCCTGATTTTCCTGAGATTACTGACCAGGTATATTCTCATATATAACTTATACTTTTGCTGGATTGGGATCTTGGGCCCTAAACCTGTTACACTACACGTTTGTTTTTTCCCAGTATTATCACTCAAAATGTTTTGATCCTTATATATCAATGCCAAAAATTAGGAATTTATGTGGTATTATCACTTAAAATATTTCTTTTCTTTAGGTTTAATACACATTAATTATAATAGTGCAAAACAATGCATATAACAAGCCCATAAATTGATATAAGTTACTTACAGGAGCAGATTTTTTCTTAGTTATAAGTGGCAGCCTGATCTCATCATTCTGATGTTTTAAACCAGCTTTATTTTCCATGTTCTCTGGGTCAAGCATGATTTTAATATCCATTTCCACCTGCTGCTGAAATATAGAATAGGCATAATTTTAAAATAACTGCACCAGGACAGAAGTGCTTATAAGCAGGAATTGCCTAATATGTCTAATAAATTTGCAAAATAATGATAAAAATTCATGTTATTTGACTCCATACAGAACTGGGCAAACAAAGTGCTCAGTGGAAAACTTTGCAAGGATTACAACTACTACCCACAGATATACTTTTGCCAAACGTTGTCCAATTAATTCCAGTCCAAGCTCTGAAATTTCCACACCTGTGGAAATTTATTAAAGCCAAAAGCCATGCCCAATGTTTTTATTGCAGTAGAAGTTTCTTAAGTTGAAAACGTTTTGGTTCGTATTCTGCTGCATAAACATAAAAATAATGGCCCATCTTCGCGAACGAAGATTTGGGGAAAGGTCTTTTACCTTTCCAGCCTGCGCAATGGATTTTTTAGGTGAGACACAGCCTGCGCTGAACTGAGCCCACCCTTTAATCCTAAGGTTCATCTGCCGGGGCCAAGCAAGCTTGGACAATGGCAGTGAGGTCCTCAGGACGTAGGTTTGTTTAGAGTGTCCTTCTCATAGATGGATGGCCACACAGGGCTAACGACCTCCATCAGGCCAGGAGACCGCGATTTGAACCCGTGGTCGCAGCAGTGAAAGTCCTGCACGCTAACCACTAGGCCACCAGGGGTCTCAAACATAAAAATAAACCTATGAAAATTCCACTTTTTACAAATAGAACATGCCACAAAAAGTTCAAGAATCATTAGATGTGCATTTGAACAATTAAACAATTGTATTACCTTGTGAAAGCACTTAAAATGGTTTAATTTATTTATCTGCACAATACCTTCTTTTGATAGTAATTACAAGCAGATGTATCAATGAGATGCTCATTTAGATTTGGGGTTGTAAGAACAAAAGTTATTATCCAAGCCAATTACTCTTTTACCCACATGGCTGCACAGAGACAGAAAGTTCAATTTTCACCTCATCAGTGCTTTTGTGGTATTTATTTTATTACTGTAACACACCGTACTGCAGAGAGGAAACTGCTGGTGCCATTAAAAAAGTATTGGGGGGAATTGAGCACCTTCTCAATTAAAACAGGAGATGATTCACAATGCAAAGTCCCCTCTCTGACAGGGAAATGATCAGGGCAGGAGTGGAAGACAACTCTTTATGGTTCCCAGGCTTTATTAGGAGAAAAAAACCAATTCCACCACATAGTAGGGGAAAAAAAGATAAGAGGGACAGTGCTTCCCAAATTCCCCTGAGCTGGGTTTGCAGACTTATCCTGCTGCTGCTAAGACTCAGAAATAACAATATTAAACAATAATTCTAAGCCTATTCTGACACCTGTGGACAAGCTATTGTCCATATGACAAGTTTTGATGTGAAAACAGCACCTGTGCTTATATGGCTGCAACCTGGTTTTATCCCAACTCCTGCAAACATCACTTATGCTCCGTGTTACTCATTTAATAGGGTCTCTGGCAGAATAATTAGGGTGTTAGTTCAGACCTGAGAACCTTGAGACACACGTGGGGCTGCTTTGCTGCATGTCTGGACAGTCACAGGCTCGACAGGGACTCGAGGTAAAACCAGCTGCTTCTGAGAAGCCCCAGAAGGAAGGGCCCTGGTTTAGAAAGAAAAACAGTGAGGTTTTTTAAAATTACATTGATTTTACCTATTAAACCCATACTACTTTGATCTGACTGGATCCAAAAGACTATATTTTATTTACATCTGCATTTAGCAAAAATAAAGCCAGAGCAATTAGCAGAATGCTGCTGTAGCTTCTCAGAACTAACATTTACTTTTGTATTGTTTTTTTACCTTAAAATGAAACCAAAATAGCACATGACCAAACTAACTTCATCTGGGCCAATGCTCCCACTCGCTTTACAAAATTCTGTTACCACAGTTTTTGTGTCTTGGTGCAATAGAACAGCTGCTTCACTTACCATTTAGGGGGCTCTTTTGAATTTACTTCTTTATTACCAGCAGAACAAACAGGTAACACTTGTCCACTTATAGTGTTTAAATAATTTTCAGCACATTTCTGTTAAAAGGGGAAAAAAATAATGTTTAGACTACTACAAAGGTACGAGGGATATTAAATTTAACTCAGTTAATTCAGCAAACCAGATCTTCACTTGACTGAAAAGATGATAAACTTTGTGCCTCTGTTGGACTGAAAATCTGATTTCGGCTGATGGGCACAAGACCAATTCATTCTGATGACCCAAAAAAATGAAGCCAATGTTCTGAACTGTAATGTCTGAGGAATCCCATCATTTGCTGATTGGAAAGGGATCCTGCAGGATGACAAATAAGTGGCTCCAAGCGAGTTACTGACAGAGACCTCAAAAACTGAATAATCTTCTGGGTCTGCTCTATTTTACTTACTCTCAGCCCAAGTTCAGTTCTTTCAGGTGCTGTTCTGAGGTCACTGATATCCACAGCTTCCATTGTTCCTTTCAGGTTGATATTTTCCATTTTAAGTTTGTGAAGGTCTTCTTGAACCTAAAAAGCAAGTTAGAACAAAAATTATACCTGTAACCAAGCCTCACGGGATTAGAGAGAAGGATTTAATCCAAATTAAATGCTTCTTAAATACAGGAAAAAATACATATGACCTCTCATTCTTCTGCGCTGTTATAAATAAGAGCATATCAAGCCAATGACTTAGTCATTGACTCTAGAAAAGCTGGAAAAAAAAAATCAATTTGAAAACAAACCTCACAAAGCACTGAGAATAAACTTCAGGACTGAGGTTCTCTGTTTCCTTATACATTTCACACACGTCTCGCAGCACAGGTGGCTTCACTGGGCAGGGACCTCAAAACCCTTAATAAAGGACTTAAAACTCGGGGCAGCCTGTGAGGAACCACGTCAAAAACGCGTATTTACCTTAACTAAACAATTTCGAGGTCTCGCTAGGCTAAAACCCACGGCATTTACGCAGCATTTCCATAGCCCAAGCCCTGACCCGACACCCACCGGCCGCCTCCCCTCAGGGAGGACCGGACGCCCCGCACCCCCCCATCCCCTCAGCAACATCAGGGCGCGCCGCGCCTCAGCCGAGGGGTGACCCGGGGTCCCGAGACGTGACGGGGAGCCCCGCAGCTGCTCTGCCGTGGCCGGAGGGGCCGGTCCGGGGGCAGGAGCGGCCGTTCCCGGCGCTCCCGAACCCACCTTTCCCGCTCCCAGCCCCGCTCCCGGCGCGGCCATGGCGGCACCGCCTCACCCGGCAACGGGACGCGCTGCCGGGCCGCACCATCCGCCCCGCCGCGGAGGGGGGGGAGAGCACACCGAGCCGGGGGGGCGCCCGCGCGCTCGGACCCGGCCCCCCCCGGGCCCCCCCCCCCGCCGCCCCCCCCCGCGCGCGGGTGGTAGCGGCGGCAGGGGCGGGCGCGGCGCGGGCGCCATGGCGGCGGAGGCGGCGGCGGAGGCAGCGGCGGGGCCGCTGGCGCTGGTGACCAGCTGCGCCGCGGGCTTCGCGCCCGAGGAGCTCGTCAAACGTGAGTCGGGGCCGCCGCGGCGCCCGCCAGGGCGGAACGAGGGGACTTCGGCCTGCCCGCGCCCGCGGGAAGCGGCCTGGCAGTGGCTCCTCCCCCCAGCCCGGGCCCTCGGGGTGGTTCTGCTCCCAGTCCTCCGCTCAGTATCGTTGTTCCTCTCTCAGGGGCTCAGTCCTTCCGTCAGGGTCGCTGCCCCTCGCCAGCAGGTTCCCAGTTCTCCCTTCAGGTTTCAATCCGCACCTTAGGCGATCAATCCTCCCCTCAGGATCGCTGCCATCCCCTCAGGGTCCCAGTCCTCCCGTCGTGGCGGCTGAGCCCCCCTCGGAGTTGCAGTTCTACCCTCGGGGTCTCAAATCCACCCCTCGGGGTCTCAAATCCACCCCTCGGGGTCCCAGTTGCCCCCTCAGGGTCTCAAATCCACCCCTCAGGGTCTCAAATCCACCCCTCGGGGTCTCAAATCCACCCCTCGGGGTCTCAATCCTTCCCCCAGCCCCAGGGCTGCCACCCAGTCCCCTGCAGCCCCCAAGCCTTTGAAGAGCGTGTCAGGGACCTCCTTAGTGCTTTAAGGAAATAGTTCATTAAAGAGGGGTGGTCTGGAGCTGCAGGTTGTGGTTTGTCCACTCTGACACCGAGGAGCAGCTTCACAGCCAGAACCCAGAGGGGTAAAGGAAGCCCCATATCCCAAAATACTCTTTTACCCCCTTCTGTGGGAATAAGCTATTGTGAGTTATACCTGGACAATTTGAGAATTACCTTAACCAATACTTGTTTCACTGGGACACATTAGTGGTCCCTGGAAAAAGAGGGGGAATCCAAAGCAACCCCAGTGGCTCAGGATTATGGGCAAGGGAAAAACAGGCAAACTAAATACTGTCCCTTTGCTATCACCTGCCCATTTATGAAGTGAACAGACTGCCTTGGACCTTCAGGACGGTGGAATTTCTAAAATTCCTGCTGGGCCTGGGCTCTTGCATTAGACCATTTGTTGTCCCAGTGCAGAAGCACCGAAAGGGAAAAATAAAAACTCATCTGTTCTGCATTGTTAGAATTGCAGATTACAATTCACGTCAAATACTTCTGTAGGAAGTGGTTTTCCTGAAAACCCAGTATTCCTTTTCATGGCTTAAAAAGGGAACATAGGGAGACCTGATAACAGAGAAAACCGTGGTGGGATTTTTGGTAATTCTAAATTCAGAGGGATTCCAAAAAGAAGCTGTTTACATCCTTGTGGCTTTCCCATTACAACACGTTAGGACAGCCTTGATTTTTAGGGAACTCATGAACAGTTTGCTGTGCACACTTGAGATGTAGAACTTAACACCCTCATCCCCTTTTCTGGATTTATTTTCATCTTTTCCTGAGCAGGATCTTACTTAGGAGCTCACAAAGCCCAGGGCTGCCCCCAGGAACTGGCTCCCTCCATCTCATTAAACCACATTTTGAGACAAAAAGAACAGTACAAAGTCTGCAGTCAAGGGCTTCTCTGTCAACTGAGTTGATACTGAATTATTTAAGGATTCCACACCAAAGAATATAATTATTGGGTTTTGCTTATTTTTGAGGAAAATAAGCAAATGGGAAGGCATTATTCAAGGTTCCTGTAGGTTTCCTTTGATTCTTTTTCATAGTGAAATTAAACAAGTAAAAATAAAAAGATGAGTAAAAAGCTCCATGGAAATGTTACTTAATCTGAGAAAGTCTTAAATTTGAACATCAGATTTTTTAAATAGTACTCACTTTGAAATGTTTTGGCTTCCACCATTCCCAGTACCCAAACTGGAGTCTTACAGCTTCTCTGGGTGTCCTTGAGTGGGTTTCTTCACAAAAACATTAAAGTCTTCCTGAAAGAAACAAGATGATTTACTAAAATACCATTTGAATTTTAAGTGTCTGTTTTGTTTAACAAGTGAATTTAAATCAGATCCATCCAGCAGAACGTTGTAAAACATCCAAGGACACACTGGTGGGGACAGGGCTGGGCTGAAGGGTTTTAGTGGGGTCAGACAGCCTGTCAGAACCTTCCAGGCTAATTCCAAGTCTTTTTCCAGTAGGAAATGGCTTGAGGATGAGGAAAGTGTTGTGGTACACTTGCTGGATATATTTCTATTTGTTCAGGTTTCTGTAGGATGCTCTGAATACTTTAATTCATTGGGTGTTGTGGCAAAACAAAACTATTTAAAATGACCATAGGTCTGTGTTTTATTGTGATATATTTATCACAAATTAAAACAACAAATAAGATTGTTTCAGTTTTAAAATGCTGACCAACAGATAAATCTTGTCTGATGTGATTGTTTTCCCTTCTCTTTTTTGACTGTTTACCACTCCCCTCCTCCCCAAGAGCACATTTGGGGTCTCTTTCCTCCTTGGTGTAATTTTTAGGAGTAATTTTTATGGTTTATTCCACCAGGTGGCTCTCAAGGCCCAGAATGTGGGAACTACTTGGAATACCTGACAACTCTTGAGGATTTGGGATCATTTAGGGCATTGTAGGAGGCTGATTTATGTTCTTACAGCATGGATTCAGTCTGAAAAACACCACAAAGAGTGATCAATACCTTAACCCCTTTGGGAAGAAAAAAACCCTGCAAAAAGTAGTTGTAATTATTCAAAAAAAATTACTGTTTATCACCATGTGGTTGAAATGCTTGAAAATACCAGTTGGGTGTCAGAGAACAGGGAAATTGCTGCAAGAGAGCTACACAGGGGTGTTTGATTATTATTGATAATATTGATTATTCAGCTTTTCTGAAAAGTTTTTTCTGGTCTCCAGTTCACCTTTTGAAAAAGTATTTGCACTAAGCCTCAATATTAAAAAAGGGAATGGATGTGAGGTTACAGAGCTTTGCCACATCTGCCTTGTCCTCCAGGTCATTGTTTAATTTATCTTGTCTATGTGCAAGAATATGAAATTAAAAGTCAACAAGTTTAAGTCAGTAAAATGAGCAAACATTTCTGTAAATAGCTGAAATTAATTTCCAAAGGTATCAATCAGGATTATTGTCCACTTCATTAAAAATTCTAGATAAATCCACTCACTTGTGAGTGAAGGAGGACACAAGTAATGCACTTACTGAAAATCTAAGCTGGTGACTGACTGACTGCCTGGAAGTAAAACAACTCCCAGTATTTCTTAGAAGACTCTGAACTCTAAATCATGTTTTTGAGTGACACCAAGCAACTTCCTTCAGTGCCACGAACTTTTCCATGAGTGTTTTTAGTGCTCCTGAACGGTGATGCCTCTGGAGTGTGTTTACATTCCTGTCACCCAGAGAAGCCTCTTCCCTCTCCCAAAAGGGGAGCTGGAGAGCCCAGCCCAGCAGGCCCTGCTCCTCCTGTGGTCACAGAGTGACTCACTTGGTTTTCCAGGCTCTTTGGATGGCAAACCACTGACACTTTCAGTGGCTGAGGAGTTTAATATTAAAAAGGAGTAACTCCCTCTTGAGTTACTCGTGAGAGATAAGTTGGACAAGCCACCTCCTTTTGCCATATTTGTTTTCTAGGAGTTTATTCTGTATCCAAATAGAACTTAATGGGGTTATTCTGATTAATATTCCTTAGATTGGATACCAAACTATCGTGGCTGAATTTCCTTTTTTCATTAAACTACATTTTGTACTGGAAAGAAATTTCTGGAATGCAGAGGTGGTAAATATAACACCTAAAACTAGTTTCTGCATAGAATGAGAACTCAATTGGAGTTGCAGTATATATTTCTTTTGTAGTCTCTGCTTGTTTACTCTAAAGGCCAAAACCTAATTGTTTTAAGCAACTTTTGTGGGAGAAGACTCCTCCCAAGATGTTGAGTTTCCTGCCAGGGGGGATCAGGCTGTTCTGCAGTAATTTGTTACAACTCTGAGTGCAGGCTGGGCCACAGCAAATCTGAATCCTTTCAGCAAGTTCCTGAAGCCCTTTGGAGTTTAGTGTGCAACATCCATTTTTACTGGGAGAGAAATTTCACAGGGAATTGGCAAAATCTTTGGCTGCAGGATGGGTCATCAGCAGCACAATGGGATGAAAGAAAACTGCTTAAAGTACAGGAACAAGGAGCAGGTAATAGGAAATGGGCCATGTCCTCATGCTGGCAGTACTTTGAGGCCTAAATTTGTCCATGAACTCTTCTGCAAGGAAAAAAAAAATCACTTACAAAGCAAATGTGAAATTCGTACCAGCTTTTGAAAATCTTTTATGAGAAGTTCTTTCATTTTATGCCCTTGCAAGGGGGAATAACTCACCCAGGTGATTTTAAAACTGATTTCCTTTCCTCACCCTGTTTTCCTCCCTTTGGTTTTTTAAGTCTTATTGCTGATTTTCTGGGTTTCAATAATTTCTACAGTCTCCGTTATTCTAAGTTTCTTGTGGCATTGATTTGCAATTCTGTTAGCTCACACTGATTTTTATTTAGTTACTTATTTTTAACTGTCAAAGCACAAATAAAGGGAAATTTATATCATAATCAAAACCTCCAAACAAAATATCTGCACTCCAGATATTCTATATCCAAGTAGAGTGAGAACTACTTCCATTAGTCCTAATATCCATGTAAATATGGGAAAACAGCTTCTCTGGGCCACTGGAACTGGAATTACTGCTTAAGAGTGGTTAAAAAAAGCTGTGGAAGAAGGAAATCTTTCAAGATTCCTGTATCGCTGGTCCCTTCCCTATTTATATGACCAGCTGTGAGAACACAAAGCTCAGAGTCAGGGTTGGTTTTGTGGTGCCTCAGCAGCACCACCCCCAGCTCCA